GGGGTCACAACCACCCCATGCAACGCCACAGGCTTGGGGAGGAGTGGCTGGAAAGCTGCCTGGCGGAAAAGGACCTGGAGGTGCTGGTCGACAGCCGGCTGAACATGAGCCAACAGTGTGCTCAGGTGGCCAAGAAGGCCAACGGCATCCTGGCTTGGATCAGGAATAGTGTGGCCAGCAGGAGTAGGGAGGTGATCGTGCCCTGTACTCAGCACTGGTGAGGCCGCACCTCGAGTACTGTGTTTAGTTTTGGGCCCCTCACTACAAAAAAGACGTTGAGTTGCTGGAGTGTGTCCAGAGAAGGGCAATGAGGCTGGTGAGGGGTCTAGAGAACAAGTCTTATGAGGAGCGGCTGAGGGAGCTGGGGCTGTTTAGTCTGGAGAAGAGCAGGCTGAGGGGGGGAACCTTATTGCTCTCTACAGCTACCTGAAAGGAGGTTGTAGTGAGGCAGGTGTTGGCCTCCTCTCCCAAGGAACTAGCGGACTGTTTAGTCTGGAGAAGAAGAGGCTGAGGGGGGACCTTATGGCTCTCTACAACTCCCTGAAAGGAGGTTGTAGTGAGGTGGATGTTGGTCTCTTCTCCCAGGTAACTATCAATAGGATGAGAGGGAATGGCCTTAAGTTGCATCAGGGGAGATTTAGATTGGATATTAGGAAAATATTGTTTACTGACAGAGTGGTCAGGCATTGGAACAGGCTGCCCAGGGAGGTGGTTGAGTCCCCATCCCTGGATGTTTTCAAAAAACATATAGGTGTGGCACTTTGGGATATGGTTTAGTAGGCATGGTGGTGTTGGGTTGATGGTTGGACTTGATGATCTTAGAGGTCTTTTCCAATCTATCATTCTATGACTCTATGATTTTACAAAAGCCTAATTCAAAGGCTTTGCCACCAAAAGCAGTTTTTAAGTTGTGCCGAATAGAGTCTGCTTGCTCTTTGCTTGCATTGAAACTACATCTGGCACAGCTGGCTACATAGTCTTAGTTTAGATGGAGCTACAACCCCCGTTTACAGCTAATGCACCAGTCACATGGCTCTTTCAACACCACTGCAAATGCCAGAAGATTAAGCCTTTGCTAACATAGGCATTAATACAGGCGCTTCGGTACAAGTGCCTTGTACACGATGGTGAGTTCACATCTCAGTGCTGAAGTAAAATCTTTACACCCTCACCATATATTTGCCTGGAGATACTATAAAGAAAGCTCTTTAAACCTTTGACTTAAAATTACCCTCTGAGATGACCTGTGTCTCCAGGGCTCACAAGAAGTGAAATACCAAATGCCCTTGAATACCTCAGCCTTGGGCCATGAAGCATTTCCATTTCAACCTCTTGCAAGCAAGCAGTGAAAAAGGAAGCTAACTGCAGTCAACCATCTGTGAAGGGCTCTATAATTACCTAATTTATTCTACAGTCAGGCATACCCTACCTGTATGTCTCATTTCAAAGAAAGTAATTGACCGCTACTACTGTAGAGTTCTTTACAGTTCCAGTATCATAAGCTACCAGCTTTTTTCAGAAGCACATTCTTGGATACAACAGAAACTATGACTGTACTGGTGTAGAAACATATACGTTGTAAATATTTTACTGTATTTGGGCAAAGAAGATATATAAAATTTGCCTCCAAAACCTACAGGAAAATCTTCGCTGCTGAGGGCCCTGCTATTATTAATTGAAACAAATTGAAACACAGAGCTCCCTTCCAACCCCTACCATTCTGTGATTCTGTGATTCTGTGAAATGAAACTAAATATAGATCAATCAAAAAAATGAAAATGTTATTCATAAACAACATGGCTTTACCTATAACATCGATCTGTTAGTGGTGTTATAACCAGACGTAGAGAATTGCCCAGATACTCATAACCATATTTGGCTTCTGTTGTAATCATTCGCACTATTACATCCTTCTCTTCCCAGTAGTATCTCAGCTGAGAAATCCATTGGAAGTCATTCAGATCTGTGATTTTGTCTTCAACCAGTTTTGCAACAACATCACGAGCTGCAGAGTAAGAGACAGATTATGTGAAAAACCTAAACACTTCTACTATTTTAGTTTACCTAAAAGAATGTATAAGTAAACTAACATTACTTATAGCTACATACATCAACATTTAGAGCAGTAGGTTTGCTTTCATGTTAGAATCACAGAATGGCAGGGGTTGGAAGGGAGCTCTGTGGGTCATCTAGTCCAACCCTCCTGCCGAAGCAGGGTC